TCTCGGAAGTCCTCCGCCCCAAATGAAATCAAAATATGAAACAAACTCGGGGGGAAGTTGGCTCAAATCACTTTAGTTCTGCATGACACACTACACTTTCTATGTTATTCATGAAATGATGAAACGGGGAAGTGGAGGAATTGGCAATTAACTTTAAACCCTGGTTCAGAGAGCGAATTTTTCTCAACTTTGTGTAATTTCTCATAATTCATCTTTGCCCTTGGGTTAGAAACTTCAAGTAGCAATAATTGGGCCTGCTGTAAATCTCATCCTCTGATTCCCCATCGCAACTCCTTTTCTATTTAAAGACAATTTATCGCTGTAATTTGTTATGCCCCTACAACTGGGAACCTCAAGCAGTGCTTCAAAAAGCACTATCCCCTTTTAGCAGGCGACTTCAACCGCGCAGTAGTTGACAGTGGGACAAGTGACTACTTCGGGTTCAGTGCGCAACTGTCCGAGACATCCTTGTTCAAAGTAATGAAGAATTGCTAATTTAGGGTGCATAGACACGCCTCAAAAAGAATTCAAAGGTCATGGCTCCATTACTAATGACCTTCCCTAGCATTGGTCACTAACCCGTAGCTCGAATAAACTGACTCGACAAGTTTTCCGTCCACGCTGCAATGATTGCTTACGGATCCCAAGAGGTCTATCCGATACTGCCGAAGTCCAACATCCGTCTACGAATTCACTCCGTTGAACCATCCAGAAACATGACTGTCAGTTATCCGCTTTCGAGCGTCCTTTGACGGCTACCTGGAATGCATGACTTGCCACTGAACATAGCCAACTCCTAAGGGAATTTTATAACCTTAAAGCAGAATATGCCTTCGGCGAAAGAAACGACAACTGATTTGGAACTTTTCAGCACCAAAGGCATTCAAATTAAATGTAGGGGGAAGTGGATTGGTCAATGTACTGACGACTCTTGTGGGAGCGCGGGGTTGCACAAACAACATCCCGAAACTGATGGCACTATTTGACTTGAAAAAGCGAAACGCAGCAGCAAAATGCTTTCAGAAGGCCCATATTTGCATTCCGCATTATCAATCTTACTGTCGTACTTCTACTATACAATGCTTAGAAGGGTATGTGGCAGGGACTAACTCACTGACCAATCCAACCTGGAAATCTAATCAATGGCATTAGCATGCAGTGGAGTATGTGAGACGAAAGCTGTTAACACGTGATAGCAGAGCCCCAAAGTGAGGCGATCCAGGTAACCTTTGGTAGCGACCTAGGCTTTCGATGTTGAGCCATCAAGAAGTAAGATCGAGCCCGACTCCGCTGCCTCAAGTCATTTGACTGCTGCACTAGGAATAGGAAAGCACGACATGGGCCTTCGCCGAGAGAAAAACAAGTTGTGGGTTGGTGGGACTCAAGCCACCTCAAAGATATGCTTGGAGTAGGGAAAAATGTATTAAACACACAGGGAATGTTCGATGAGCGGATCGGTGCAAAACTTCTCTAACATGCAGTCAGAGTTGAGTGTTGCAGACATTACACACGTGAGTTTCACAGGTTAAGTATTACAAAGTCTACTGCCAACGTTAGAATCATTATCACTACAAAATTGAAGAGTGAAGAACACAGCAGTTGATTGGATGAACACGGAATTTTG